CCTTTTATATGCAAAGCACTCTGGGTACAAGAAGAAAGAGATTTAGCTTACCGTTTGAAAGATATGGCAATTTCTCACTCTAGGAATGCCAAAGAAACCCATCTCGCTGAAACATATGTGGAAGAGCCTAGTATATTAATCAATCACCTGGTAAATTTCACACAAGTATGCAGGCTTGTCATTCAGGCTGCACAGAAAAGGCATAAGGACCTAACCAGTATGACCAGGTGAAGCCTAGATTAACCCAAATGTGTATATGTGTGTATGATATAATGCACGCCCATATCCATAAACACATACACACACATAATTATACATACATACTCCTGTATATTGTAAATACATGTCTATATATATATGTGCATGTGTATGTATGCATATATTTATATGTGTGTATATGTGCACATATATACACACATACTTTCCTTTCTCTTTAAATTTTGACTAGCTAGCTGAGGAAAAGTGCAGTAAGAATTCTGATCTTGGAATCAACAGCTATCCCTAACCCAATGAATTTTCCCTTACCTTTGGCTACAGGCAATTAGGTAGGGTAATGGCTAGATAGAGGGCTGGCCTTTGAGTCAGGGAGACATGAGTGTGAATCCCACCTCAGACATCTATTGGTTGTATGACCCTGGGCAAGTCACTTAATCTAGCTTAGCCTCAGTTTTCCCATATGTCAAAAGAAGATGCTTATAATAGTACCCTCCTCTCAGAATTGTTATAAGGATCAAAGGAGAATGTGTGAGTGTATAACTTCTTTCTTTTGCAAACCTTAAAGCAATGTATAAATGGTAGCTCTATGATCAGTTTCTGTTTGAACACCTCCAGTGATGAGAAAGTCTCTGATACATCATTAAACTCGTTATCTATGCAAGGTTATTTTGAATGCAAAAAAAGAGAGACTCTGTTGACATCTGCTATACTTCCAACACAAAGGTTCCATGATTTGATAAACCACTATTGGATAATGGGATGCTAAAAAAATAATGCCTTTTTTAGAATGTTTTCAGCAAGGGAAGAAAGCAGGCAGGGGGTTAAGAGTAGCTAAAAGCAAAACCCAGCAGGCTAAATATCTGTACAACTACAAAAATGTTAGCTGATGTCTTTGGTACAGCTGCTTGCTAGCACTCACTGGGTTGAACATCTTGGCAAGAAAGTTTAATTCTTCAGCTAATGGTATTTGGCTGCTGTGGTTTTAGCTGAACTAGTGAATTTAAAGTCTGTATTACAATGAAAAAAAATGCCTGGAAGGTTGCTAGGTACAGGTATATAATCTATTTTTACATGTACTTTGTCCACACATTTCTATGTTCTCTCTCAAAAAAAGGTAAGTAAATAAATGAATCCAACCACACAAATAAACCAAAAATCCCCAAAGGGTGGCACCATCTTTACTACCTACATCAGAGAGGCAACCCAGAGAAAAACATCACACACACAGAAACCCTATGATCATGAGTTCATGAGGCAAACACAAAGGTTAATTCTGAGGGTTCAATGGATGCCACTGGTGCCAGGTAAAAGCCAAGCCTTTTACTTCCCATCAACTAGCTCAAACTCAGTTGCAGATTAGGATAATACAAATCAAACCACCAATTTCACATTCAAACATGTAGGACATGATCTGGTATTGTTAGCAGTATGTCCAGGGAAGCCAAACTCTACAACACAGTGATTAGCCCTGCAGGGAAGCCGTATTACCCCTTTGCCATCATTGCCTCATGTGCATGCTGAACTTTAGTTCAGTGGAAAGAAAGCTGTATTGGTAATTAAAGGAACTAGATTTGAATCTCAACTCTGACACTGAACACATATGTGACCTCAGTCAAGTCACTAAAAGCCTCTGTTTCCTGATCTGCAAAATGGGGGAGGTGGGTTGGGTCAAATACCTTCTGAGGTCTTCTCACACTTTCCCAAGAGTATCTCTCCCACATCTATATCTTTACTCATGCCATTCTCTTCCACTCCCTGCTTTGCTGCCTAAAATCTGCCCTGATCATACTTGTTTAGGTCCTTATGCCTTTTCTATGCAGACCGAATGACAACCTGCACACTCGTGTGAAATTTACCCAGTGATTGGTTAATACGCTTGCCGTTTCCATATAAGTATCAGCATGATGGCCTTCTTCAGCAATGCCAGAGTGAAAAATTGTCTCCTAGGCCATATTTTTCAAATGCTAAACTCAGTCTCTTTTTGCACTCAAAGTGCCTTGCACATAATAGACACTTAATACATGTTTACTGTTTTTAATTTAATTTCTCTGACCCAACCAACCTATGCTACAATGCTCAATTTCAGTTTTGTTGTTCAATCATATCTGACTCTTCATGACTCCGTTTAGGGTTTTCTTGGTAAAGATACTGGAATGGTTTGCCATTTCCTTCTCCATCTCACTTTACAGACGAGGAAACTGAGGCTAATAGGGTTAAATGACTTGCAATTAGTAAGTGTCCAAGGCAAGAATTGAACTCAGGAAGATGAATTTTCCTGACTTTAGGCCCAGTACTCCATCCACTGTGCCGCTTAGCTACCCGGTACTTTTACACATATTAAATCATTTGGTCCTTACAACAACCCTATGAGGTACACACTGTTATTTTCCCTATTTTACAATAAGGAAATTAAAGCTGAGAGGTTATGACTTATCCAATGTCATATAGCTGGTAAGTATCTGAGTCATGATTTTAATTCAGACCTTCCAAGCTTCAAGTCCCACAAGCTATTCTAATTAGGCAAATCATTTAACCTCTGAAGGTCAGTCAGTTCTCTAAGATTGTATAGCTTTTGTACTAGAATGAGGGTCATGTTTTATACAGCTTTGTATCTCTTCTCAATGCCTCACACATAGTGGGTGCTTAACAACTACTTGTTACACCCAGGAATGGATGAGAGGAGATGTGTAAGCACAAAGTAGGCCTTCCTATTTTTTTTTTTTACCAAAATGATAAATTGAACTTCAGAAAATAAAAGATTGTAAAGTCAGAGCTGGAAGGGATCCTAAAGGCCATTTGATCCAACCTTCTTGTTTTACAGATTAAAAATTTTATTTTTCTAATCTGGAATGCTGTCTATATTCAGCATGATCTAATTTCTTTTATCTTGATCACATAATTTATCATCTAAAGCAAAGTATCATTTATTCATGTATATAACTGCATCTATACCTACCTCCCACTACTATAGTGCCTATTACCTCAGTATTACATACCTTAAAGTTTTTAGTCTGCAATATGGGCTAGGGGATAGGACTATACTACCAGAATACTTATACTAGCTTGAAACATACAGAAATAACGGGCATCTGGCACTAGATAAGAATTAAGTAATTGTTTACAGCCTGGTGACCAATTTGACTTTCTTTCATAATTTTGTTATTTTTTTTATGCTTTCCATATCCCAGAAACTTCCTGGAAGCCTACACAAGCTGCCATTCACTCTTTGTGGGCTAGAGGTTATAATTTATGTAGCCATCTCAACAAGTCCAAAACCCTTCTGTGGTTTAAATATTTGTTTTTGTAGCTTTATGTAGCAGTAAACGTCTACTTCATATCTAGGTGGACATTAGACGTCAGGGAAATATAAGACTAAGTCAGTGCTTGTATAATTACTTATTTGTGAGTGCTATTATCATGACTGGGAAAATTATTTTAATAGCTATAGAAGGACTCACGCTAGAAGTGAAAATCGAATCCTGTACAATATTGTACAGCACTTAATAATGAATAAGTCAAAGTGTATTTAACAACATGCGATATTTTCCTCTATATGTTATTGATGAAATTATATCATTTTTAAAAAATGAAAGTTCTGATTATCAGACCAATTTCACAGTTATTAAATGTCTGATCACCACAGGCTCATAGATTTAAAGTTGAAAAGACAACTAAGAGTCATCTACTCCATCCCCATCATTTTACAGATGAGGAAATTGAGGCCCAGAGAGATTTGCCCCAAGAACACTCAAGTGGCATGGCAGAATTGAGATTTAAACACAGACTTCTGATTACAAATTTAACAGTTCCTCCACTGTATACCCATCAGGTTGCACAATCTTTCCTGTGGTGCAATATATGAAACAAACCAGCTCCAGTTTGAATGAAATGGAAAGTTACATTTATTGATGCAAACATTCAAGCTATTGCCTAATAATAATCTCTAAAAATAATTGTTCTAATACAGACATTCATGGAGTGCTTTAATATTTACAAAAACTGCTTAGAACAACTCAGCAAATTAAGTACCACAAGTTTGATATCCCCATTTTACAGATGGGAAAACTAAGATGAAGTGGCTGACCCAAGATGGGATTTAAAGGCCGTTTTCAAGGCTTCAGTGCAGCCAGCTTTTCACTACAAAGTCTTGCCTTCAACCTTGTGCTAGCTCTCCTGGGCCATAAGCAGGTGTGGGTAAAGAATATACTTAATATAAGACTCCATGGCCTTATTAATCATATCCTTGAGGGGAAGGACATAGGACACATGTGACAAAGGGAGCCCATAAGAGTCTGACTGCCCAGGAGAAAGAATCATTTTGGTTAAAAAACAAAAATGTGAAAATAACTTTAAAAGTCTTCGATGTTCTAAACCTGTTTTGTGTCATGGCCCCCACTGGCGATCTGGCGACATCCATGTATTCTTCAGAATCAAGATTTTAAATGCATAAGATAAAATATATAAGATTACATAGGAAACCAATTATATTGAAATGCAGTTATCAAACTATTAAAGAAAGTAAGTTCATGCACCCCAGGTTAAAGATCCCTAGGGAAGCAACTTTTTCACCTTCTATATTTCCCAAAGTTCGATGTCATGGGGAATGAGAAAGGACATCGATGATGCCGTGATTCTGGCTCTGTGACCTTGTAAATCCAGTGTACAAGCCTGACCCAAATCCCCTCTGCCCCAAGGCCCGGGGCGACCGGTGCAGAGAAGGGGACACGCCGTACCCTGAATCGCAGGCAGCTAGAGCCTGGATCTCCCTCAGTTGCTGGACTTACCACAAGCGTGCAGCAGAGGAACTTGTTCATTGTGGTCTCTAGGGAAACCCCGGGAGCTGGGAAGGCAGACAGAGAGTGGAGGGAGGGAGCGCTCTCTCGCTCGCTCACTCGCGTCTCCTTCTGGATGGTGCTGACATCCCCCCAACATTACCCAGGCACTTATATACAGAGCCTCCTACAACAGGAAGTATTGCCTCCGCTTTGATCTCACTCTCTGCCCGTGACCAAACTTTGAGCTTTTCTTTTTTAGGAAGGGGGGGGGAGGAGGAGAAGAAGGTGGAAGGGGAAAGGGGAGGTGGTTAACTCTTTCAGTGCGGAGGCTCAGAGAGTGACCCAGAAGTGTGGAGAAAGGGGTGGAAAGAAAGTCTGAGCGGGGCGGAGGTGGGGGGGGGGGGAAGAAAGAAAAAAAAAAAGAAAAATAAATAAAACCACTGACTAGGCTGCGCACATGGGGCGGCAGCTGTCTGGGGACAGGCTGTGAGCCATCCCTGTCCTTTCCCGGAGAAAGCCTGGCAGCTGCTTCTAAAGGCGGGCGCGCCCAGAGTGTTTTCCCATTGCACGCGCTGAACAGAGATGTCAAAAATCCCACCCAGCCTGCGCGCATTGCTTTGGATTCCTCCAATCCCCTACCCGCTGAATTTCCACCTCTAAGGCCAGGGAATTCTGCACTGACCCGTCGCACCGAGGAAGCATGTTGGATCCCAGGACTGTGGTTGGTTTGGGGAAAGAGTAAGGTTCTAGACAGACACTGTGTGAAGGAAAGCAGCAAGTTTCTCTCTTTCTTCCCACCCCCATCACATTTTCAGTTTACTGTCACTAACTACATGGTACCTGTTCATAGATTCAGAGGAAGAAGAGTTGATTTAGTCCAATACTTCTCATTTAACAGATAAGGAAACTGAGGCGCAGGGCATCAACCAGGTGAAGTGAAAAGTATATAACCTAGGGGTAATGATTTTTTTTTTACTTGATAAATTGTTTCTATATGGTTGATTCAATATAGTCCCGTGTATTTTATTTTATGCATTCAACCTTATTCTGAGAAGGGCTCAATGGGATTCACCAGACCAGAAGGGGTTCAGACCAAAAGGTTAAAAACCCCTGATCTAGTCCAAACTTCTCATTTTGCAGATGAGGAAACTGAGGCCCAGAGAAAGTAATTGTTTGTCCTAGGCTACAAAGAATCTGATCTAGAATCAGTGACTTGTGTTCATATCCTTCACACGGTGTTTGCTACCTTTGCGACCTTGATCAAGATGTTTGACCTCTCTGGGCCCAAGTTTCCTCATTTGTAAAATGCAGAGGTTGCTGTAGATGGTCTCTGAGGTTATTAACCTCCCCCAGTTTGCAGGTGAGGAAACTGAAGGGCAGAGAAATCAAGAATCTTGATCAACATCACACAGATAGTGGCAGAGTCAGGATTAGAACCCAGGTCTATTGACTCCAAATCCAGTGTTCATGACTTGCATTGTCACCCAGATAATAAATATCATCTGACTCCAAATCCTGGTTTATTTATATTACACCTTGGTGCCTCTTGAGGAAGCCTTGCCTCTCTATAAGTCAAGAGAGATCCAGGGAATTATTATGTATCATAGAAATATATCTAAGAAAAGCAAAGCTTCCTACCACACCTGCAGTACTCTTTGACTTTGGTCTGTTGTGGAGAAGCAACATTCAAGCATGTAGCTGAGTCAACATAAGTTAAATAGGCACAGTCTCTGGCAACCTAAGAGCTTACAATTTTCAGGCACTCCCAGGTGCTAGCAGGGTAGCACAATGTATAATGTCGTTTTGGTCTTCAGCCTACACCCTTCGGTGTACATATATGCTATACAGCCCTTGGTATGTATAACAAACATGCCCACCTTAACAGTAGGAAGAAAAGTCTTTGCTTAATATCAGTATTACTTGGGGGGTGGGGGGAGAAGGAAGGCCAAAAGATCTGTTTAGCATGATTGGGAAATTACAACACATGGGGGGGGGGGGTGGCAAGGTGAGGTTCAGGCTTCTGGGAAGAACTTCCTTATCCTTCCCTCCCACCCACCCCCATCTAAATATCCCAGGTATCCCAACACTCATCAGATTTTCCTACTCCTCCAATGGGCAAGTTTCTGTGGTGGAGTGTCAAGAAAATGCTTTGGGACAATATCTAATTGTCATTCATACAAAAACATTTATTGATAGAGAAGCTGGCTACAATCTGTGTTTACCATCAGATTCCACAAACTTGCTGCATGCTCCACATGGATGAGATGCTGTCCTGGGGCTGGTTTGTTACCCTTTCATATCCAGAGTCAGGTCCTGTGATATCTCCGTGTTCTCTCCTTTTTCAAATATTAACCACCGCTAACATTTGGACAAGTGGTAATTTAAGATTTAGAGTCCTCAAGAGAGGAACTTCATTTGCTTAGATCTGACTGTATAACACCAACCAACCTCATAGGGATAGGAATATTTGTGATGTTATTGATGCAAATACCTGAAAGTATGGACAGATTTTGATTGTAAATATTACATCTAGGAAACTCAATCTTCTAATAAGAATATGAGGAGGCAAGGAAGTAATGAGTCAGAAGCAGAGCAGGTATATTTATAGCTGTTGGTTTTCTCTTATTTATTAATTTTTGCTGAACTTTGTTACTAGCAAGCATTTTAATTGCTTGTCCATCACAGCAATGTCATTGTGATAAGAAAGCCTTTGATTTTAGGAAATTGTATTTTTTTTAATTTTTTTTTTTTTTTAGGTAATTGGGGTTAAGTGACCTGCCAGGGTCATCCAGCTAGTTAGTGTCAAGTGTTTTGTCTGAGGCCAGATTTGAACTCAGGTCCTCCTGACTTCAGGGCCAGTGCTCTATCCACTGCGCCACCTCGCTGCCCCGGAATTTATATTTTAAGAAAAGAAATAAATGTATTTGCTCCATCCCCACTGGTAACTTATGGGAAATTCTTCCTTTTTTTTTCCAAAGGCTGAGGGAAAGGGAGTTTATACTTAATAATAATAACAAATTACACAACATTTTAAGGTTTTCAAAGTGTTTTACCTATATCATCTCATTTTATCCTCACAACACTATGAGGTAGGTACTATTATTATCCCCATTTTACCGATGATGAAACTAAGACTGATTTGGCAGGAGTCACACTGGTAAGTGTCTGAGGCACAACTTGAACTGAGGTTGTACTAAATCCTCAACTCTGTCATGTTGCCTCTCAAAGTCAGCTCTCAATAAAAGCTATGTGTTAATTTTTTATCATCTAAGTTATATGATTTGTTTTCTCTCTCCTGCTGACACAGCACCCAAGCCAGAGTATTAAAGGAGTCTCAAAGACAGGTTTCCATCGTTCCTTTCAAGCAGTGTAGCTGTGTACATTCTATCCCTCCTGATTGGGTGAGGCTGTTTGCCAGAGCTAATAGGGGAAAGGGAAGTCAATGCATTTGGGGAGCAAAGTTCCTAAGTGTAAGATTTCAATTATAGTAAATAAAATAGAGACTGGTCACCAGAAAACCATCTGTAGAACCTGTTGCACACGTAAAGCTTTGTGATATTTGCTCATGGTACTTTTATATAAGGAAGCTGGAGAATAGAGAACAAACAAATATAGAGGGGGTGGTTCTGTGATTATTCTGAGGAATAAAAACAATTGCTTGTTTGTGAGTATTGATCTTGTCAATTATTTTGGTTACTTCAAATTTGTTTTCTCCTGAAGCCAGGAACAGTATCTTTATCCCATCCAGTGCTCTTTAATAGCAATGGCACTGCCAAGCCAACACTCCTGGGATATTTTAAGTAGCCACTCACCTGGTTGCTTTGAGAGAAAAAAATAGTTTGTCCTTGGTGAGCAACAAAGAAATCTGATCAGTCTCCTTTTTCTACATTAAAATTCTTGGAGGACCAGGATTATAAATGCCTGGATAAGAAGGCCAAATATTTCATAACATCTCAGAGCACTAATGAACCATAGACAGGATTTAGTTCAACTTCTTTTTACAAATGGGAGAAATGGGGCCCTGTGAGGCACAGGGACTTGCCTGACATCAGGTAAGTAGGACTGGAACCCAGTTCTTCTGGCTTTAAAGCCAGTGCATCTGCCCACGTGCCCCAATGCCTGCTATTCTAATCTTTCGTCGAAGGGAAGCAGAAATTTTTCAGCTGGGAAGGAAGGACCTTAGAGGTCACTTAGTCTAAACACCTCATTTAGAGATGACAAAAACGAGGCCCTGAGAAATTAAATGACTTGCCCAAGGTCACTCAGGTGGTAAGTGACAAAGTTAGGATTCAAATGTATCCTATGACTTAAAATCCTGTGCTTTATCCATTGCATCAAGGATACAATATGCAGGAGATGACTTATTAAGTTATAGTCCATTAAAACATATGGATATTTTTCACATGAACCATTGCATAGCCACGTCTTCACTGTCTTTTAATTGGGATTATAGGACGGTAGACTTAGAGCCAGAAGGAAGTCATTCAGTCTAACCCTTCATTTTTCTGATGAGTAAACTGAAGCCTAGAGCAATTGACTTACCCAACATAGAACTGTTTGCTCAGAGAGTATGCTGCAGACCTAGGATTCAATGACAAACCCAGACCCTCTAATGCTGGATCCACTGCTTGAACACTCATCTCTGCTGCCTCTTTTTCCTGTCCTTGTAGAGTAGACTTTTTAAAAACCCAAGTGGAAGACTATTCACTCATCTTCATTGAGTTTTATACTATTAGATTCAACCTGACCAGTAAGAAAATCTGTGATCCTTGACAAGTCACTCAGTCTCCCTGGGTCTCAGTTTCCTCATCTGTAAATAAGTGAGAGGCAATGCGGTTTAGTAGAGAGAGAGGTGAGAAGACCTGGATTCAAGTCCTGCCTCGGACACATTGGCTGTGTGACAGAAGTGAGTCACACAATTGGGTATGTTGGAGCCTACTTGTATCAGCTCCTAAGACTGATTGTTGCAATTTTAGTCTGAGCATTTACACTCCGGAAATAAGCAATACTATAAATCAGGGCTTGATTTATTATTTTCTTAAGTGTTCAGACTTAAGAAAGTGATGAGAAAAATGTTAATAATGCAGATTAAATGTAAAATTGCCTACATTCCTTCCCTCCAGAGAAGTAAGTAAATCATTTTGGT